ATAGAAGTAATCTATAGTAATGGAAAACAGATCAGTTATTACCCACTGAGTGGGGAAAAGTGGATGGGAGAAGAAAGCCACCCACCCACCGTCCATCCATCTCCCCATCGACCACCTGTCCATCCATCCCTCCGTCCCTGTGTCCATGCGTGCATCCCTCCATCCTCAGCAAGGAGCAGAGGACATTTGTGTGGAGGGTGCTGTGGATACATTTCCATCCTAATTATGGTGACAGTTTTGTAGGTGTATATTATGTTAAACTTGACCAAATCATACATTTAAACACTGGAAGCTTATTGTACATCAATTAGAACTTAGTAAAAGTTTTAAACTCTCAAATTGGAGTCTTTAGATCATACTATGTCCTGCATTTTCCAGATGAGTCAGTGTTTTCTTGTGGCAACATAAAGTCATAGTCATAGTTTACAACACCTACGTGATATTCCAGAATATTTTTGGCTGTTACACATTTAAAATTAATCATGGAGACATATTAGGGTCAAAATTATAGCAATGGTAAAAAGATGAGTGGTCACCAGAGAACTGGGGAAAAGACGTGAACAACTGGAGCACAGCATAATTCAGGGTGGTGGAACTATTCTGTGTGACAACTGTAATTGTGGATGCTCAATATTAAATGTTTGCTAAAACATGAACAATGAACCTTAAGGTATGCAAATTAAAACATACTTACAGGTCAGGGGATTCTCAGGTAACTACAGAACATGACAGGAGAACCTATCTGTGTTACAAATTCAGGAAACAAACTCATGGGTCAGGGTGGGGAGAAGACAAGGGCTCTGTTCTCAGGGCACCCCCGCAAGAAGGGAAGGGACAAGGAGATTTCTCCCCTGGGGGCTATGATGACCCCAGGAGCCTCTGGTTTTTCCTTGCTTATGACTTGGGTTTCTCTAACAGCAGCATCTCTCCTTGGTGAAAAGTGGCTGTGCCTTCGTGGTGGACAGCGTGGGCTTGGGCCGCAAGGACCTTGGGACCGCACTGGTTTTGCTACCCTCCAGCTGCACCCTCAAGGGTGCTTTCACCCAAAGTCTCATTTTCCTGGGGTGTACCACAAAGTAATGTGAGTGGCAGCCTCTGAGCTTGTGGAGGGCTTTGGTGATGCGGGATTTCTGCAGAAATGCTACAAGAGGGACACCCCCCCCCACTCTGAGAGCTCTCATTTGCCACCTGTGCATCTACCGATCTATCCCTGCATCTACCCATCTACCTATCCATCCCCGAATTCACCCATCCAATCCTGCACCCACCCATTCATCCATCCCTGCATCCACCCATCCCTCTACCCATCCAATCCTACATCCACCCATCCCTCCACCCATCCAATCCTATATCCACCTATCCCTGCACTCACCCATCCATGCATCCACCTATCCCTCCACTCATCCATCCCTGCATCCACCCAGCCATCCACCTTTCAGAAGTGAGGTGCTGAGTGTATCTTCCATGAGGGTGGGCAGAGTGAGTGCAGTGGTCAGTGGGAAGGTGACACCTGAGACATGTCTTGAGGGGAGGAGGGTAATTGCTGCACAGTGACTGAATTTTTGAGGGACTAACCCTACCTTCCTGGTAGTGCTGGGGGCAGGATGCCCCCCAAGAGGTTTTCTGGGCCCACCCGTCTGGTGGAGATCTGGCCTAGTCTAGGAGCCCAGCCTGCTGGCTTGGCCTGCCAGCCTCCGACCGAAGCGCAGCCCCTCTGCACACTGGCTTGCTCCTCTCCACAGCTGCCCTGGGGCCTCCTTCTGGCCTTTGTGTCTGTGCAGCTCCAGGAGGGTATGTAAGCTGGCCCTGCCACCCCTGGTCTCCGAGGTGGCTGACACTTGCGATGCTCAGGGACACCTGGGAGAGGGCAGGTGACAGGTGCTCCTGCGGGGCCCAGGTCGAGTCTTGCTGTTCTGCCCTGTGGTGTGGGGGCTGAGTCTCTTTGGGAGTCTGGGAGGGCTGCACGTGCCTCCATCTGTCCCCCAGTTAGGTCTAGTGAGACAGGGCTGGAGCAATGGCAATGCTATGGGTCCTGCCCCCACTTCGCCTCCTGCCCCAGTGGGACTGGCCCAGTTACTTAGTTTCCTCTTTTGTAATGGAGATGAACAACCAGACAGAAGAGCCCTGGCTTGCACCATGGAGCCCCGGACTGCACCCTTAGCTGATGTGATTCCAGATTTCAGGAAGGGGCTCCTCAGTCACAGTGAGGGGCTGTGAGGAGGGGGCTCTCAGGCTCAGCTTGGGCAGGAAAGATGCTCCCTGCCAGGCAGGGCTCTGGGGCTGACAGATTCTGGGCTGAAGGGTTCTCTGGGGAGCCTTGGGCAGTAAGGCCTGTGTGCATGAGTGTCAGGAACGGCTCAAGAAATGATGGGGGCTGGGTCTGAAGATGTGGGTTGCATCCAGATGCCCCTGGAGGCGAAACCCCCTCTTTCTGGGGACCTTGGCCTTTTCCCTGCAGGCTTTTACCTGATTGGGCAAGGCCCACCACATAGCCCTTCCCTCTGCCCGCAGCTGAGAGTGGCTTTGCCACAGCAGTGTGGGACTGGTGTCCACCCAGAAGCTGGGCACTGTCACCCGGGGTGTGAGTGTGGGGGCTGGGCATGTTCTCCAGCAGGGCGGGGACCCTTTCCTCCTCCTTCACCAGCTTCCTGGTGAGTCAGTTTGTGGGCACAGAGTGGGGCCACCACTGAGGCTATGACGTCCATACTGCCTCCTCCCTGTGAGCACAGCTGTAAAGTCTCAGCAGTTTCTGAGAACATGTCTTGTCCAGGCAAACACTGCGGGTGTGGGGTCCGGCCCGGCACAGGGCCCAGCAGGCAGCCCCTGGCCCAGGAGCGTCCACCTGTGCTGGGTGGGGCAGCATTTCCGCCCTGGTGGCCACATCCTTGTCACAGAGTATGGCACCGCCCAGTGGTTCTCAAGGTGCCCGGAGTCCTGGTGGGAAAACTGTGGGATGCTGGGGGTCCCCCAGGCTTGGGGGGAACACTGGATACCAAGAGAGTGGCCAAGAGGAAAGGGCACACCTGGCTGTCATGCACTCAGAGAGCCAGGGTCCCTGCAGCCCTTCTGTGACACCTTCCTGTTTGTCTTCATCCTGCAGCCAAGCAGCAGTCCCCATTCTCTGCCAGGGGCTCAATGATGACTGTGCTGGTGGCTGAGAAGCTGTGGTGTCATCCTGACCTGACCTGGTCTCACCGCCATTGGTGCCCCCGACCTGAGGGTGGGGGTTTGGTCCTCACTGTGGCTAGTCCTCACAGTGGTTATCACCACTGTCCTCAGGAGAGGATGCAGGGTTGGCTTTCTCCATCCCAGAGGCAGAAGGACTGAGGTGCAGAACACTTCCAAACCCAGGAGGCCCTCCCCTGTATGGCCAAGGGAGAACACACCTCCTCAGGGCTCAGCACAGGTGGCTGGGTGGGCATCTTGTGCCTCCCCAGGATGGGGCTGAGGAGCTAGCATGGAAATTCACTGCCTTTTGGGGCGTGGGATCCCCTAGGGCTCAGTGCCAGCTTGGGAGGCCTACTGGAGGTCGTGTACAATGGTGCTCTCAGCCCAGTTGGCTCTGGTTCCCTAATCTCTGCTTCCCTGGCTTGGTCCACACAGTTCTGCTCCTCCATGTGCCCCGGTAGCTGGTCATCTGGCCCTGCTGCCCCCATTGGTCTGACTGTCATTGCAGCGGGGTCCTGAGAGGGCTGCCTTAGACTGCGATGCAGGTGTCCGGGAGGTTCTGGCCTCTGCTGGGCTCCCTGTGGCCTGGAGATGCTGTGTGTGGTGCCCTGCCAGGTCTGCAGGATAGGTAGGGAGGGACTCAGGGCCCTGTGGAACCTCCATGCCCTCACGGCCCTGAGACCCTGGGATCTGTGTTCACTGCACTGCACTCGAAGTCAGAAACTATTCAGGATCCATCTGTTTTTTTTTTTTTTTTTTTTTTTGTCTTTTTCATTTTTATCAGTACCAGGGATGGAACTCATGACTGCCTGCTTGGAAGGCAGGCGCTTATGCCGCTGAGCTAAATCCCCAGCCCCTGAGGATCCATCTGTTTTCAGGAGGAGGAAAATGCAGAGCAGAGACGGACTCAGCCCTCGGTTTGCCCCTGCTACGTGGGGCACGCCTGTCTTTGTGCCTCCACCCTGGGTGGGCTTTGGGAGTGGGTGTTCCTAGAGGGCCCAGGTTTTGAGGCCATGCATCACAATTCCTCAAGGCCTTTCCAGACTGTGGTGAGGTGGTAGCTAGCTTTGGGGCTCACAGAGACCCTTCCCAGACCTGGCCTTCTTCCCTCATCCTGCTGCGCCCTGGGGACCTGGGCGCATCCAGGGCTGGGCGGTGCTCCCCACGTTCTAATTACATGTAATTTTAGCCTGGGAAATGGCTGGGATTAGGCAGTGGGCAGTGTTGGGGGGAGGGACTCTGAAGTGCTCAGTGAGCTCCAGGACCCCAGCTCTTACCCATGCCCTCCAGGCTGATCACTGTGATGGGGTGGGCTTGGCTCACCCCCCAACCCTCAGGTGGCTGGGTCCTGAGCCCCTTGGGGCTGCGGCTGTCTCAGCTCACACTGCCTAGGGGCAGCATGTCCTGGAATGGAGGGGTTGGGCAAGGCTGGGCAGGGAGCCCCTCACCTGGAAGCTTGTTGGGCCTGAGCTCTCCTGGGGCACTGGGCTGGGGGCAGAAGAGTGAGAGGGGACGCAGGACTGTAAGATGCAACTCTGGCAGGGACCCCCATCCAGCCTACGTGGGGCTTGGTCCCACATGGTCCACCTTGGGTGTGTGCTGGCATCAGGCAGGGCGGTCGCATCCTGAGGAAGCCAGGTTTACCAGGGAGCAATAAAGAGATAAATCCAGATAAGGTAAATCAATATTGCCTGTGGTGGCCACGCTCTCCTGCAGCTGTTTTCATGATAATCCGGCGGACGCCCCACCCACTGCCCTCCCTGCCCTTCGCACACTGGGAGCCCACTGGGCATAAAAGTCTTGGACCCCTGGCCCGGGTGCTCTTCCACTCGCTCTCCTGAGCCACCATGGGGCTGCCACTGGCCCGCCTGGTGGCCACCTGTCTGGCCCTGGCCTCAGCCGGGGGCTTGGAGCTGCAGAGAGGTGAGAGGGCTGGGGGCGGGCAGGGAAGGGCATGGCATTCCAGGGAGGGAGGCTGAACAGTCTTGGGCACAGGGGTGGCCCACTCCTGGCCTTTGGGGCTCCAAGTACACTGGGGCTCAGGTGGCTGCATTACTCGGGGCTCTGCAGTCCCCAGCTGCCTGAGAGTGGCCTGGGCAGGGTGGGTCCTGGAGACTCAAGCTCTTGAACAGAACAGACACACAGTGGAGGGGACTGTTCCCAGGGGTGCCCAGCGGAGCATGGGGAGTGAGGGTATTTGGGGCTCCACTCTGGAAGTGGGCTGTGTCTGTCTGGGGGGGCAGTCTCACCACAGGGCACTGGCGGACCCATTCTGCAAGGGTGGCCCAAAGCCACAGGAGCCGTCTGGGGGCCTTGACTCTCTGAGGGCCCAGCCCAGTTCTGCTGGAGGGGGGTGCAGGCCAGGCAGACAGGTGCCCGCGGTGCTGGAGACCCATGCACCCCCCCCCCCCATCCCGCAGGCAGCTGAGGATGGGCTCCGGGGTTTCAGAGTGCACCTTTGAGGGGCTCCTGGAGTCTCACCTCACCATGCCCACCTCCCCCAGTGGGCCACAATGTCTGTAGCACCTGGGGCAACTTCCACTACAAGACCTTCGATGGCGACATCTTCCAGTTTCCTGGCCTCTGCAACTACAACTTCGCCTCAGACTGCCGCGACTCCTACAAGGAGTTCGCTGTGCACCTGAAGCGGGGCCTGGGCCAGAGCGGCAGCCACCCCCAGGTGGAGTCTGTGCTGCTGACTATCAAGGACGACATCATCTACCTCACCCGGCAGCTGACCGTGGTGAACGGCGCCATGTGAGTGGGCAGGTGTTCCCTCCTGTATTCCAGCCGTGGGGGTGCTTGCCGGTCCCTGGCATGGGCGGGTGCTGGGACCGCTTCCGCGTGCCTGGCACATGGCGAGGCTTGGGAGACTCGGGTCTGAGTGGAGGTCATGCACATGAGTCCCACCAGAGCCCTCCTCCCATGCGCAAGGGGCTCCTTGGGGCCTGCCACGGGTCCTGAGTGGGGTGGTCCTGGGTGGGGTGCTTGGTGACTGTGGAGCAGTTCCCCAGCTTGAGTTACAGAAGCTGGCCTGCCGGCTATTGTCCCTGCATTGTCTCCAGAACAATGCAGCTCCCTGGAATGTGTCCTGTCCAGCAGGTTCCTCCCTTGCTAGATTTGCCCTTTTCCTGTTCAGGGGGTTCTGTTTCCCACCAGGCCCAGGTTTCTAGGTGGGTGGGTGGGGTGACCACAGACAGCAGGGGGAGGCACAGAGGTGGGGTGAGGTGGGCACCTGAGCTCTGGGGTAGGGGCCCAGAGGTGCCTGTAGCTTCAGGAGGGCCGGGTGGTGACGCCTGGCTAGGCTCTGTGGCAGTGTCCCAAGGGAGCTGGCCAACCCCGCTTCTGTCTCAACCCGGCCAAGTCTGTCTGTGGCTCCCAGGGGCTCCTTGGGGCCTATCCCAGGAAACATGGCATCCATGCTCTTGGGCAGCAGCCCTGGAGGACATGGCACGGCCCTGGCTGGTGGTGACCATGGGTGCCCCAACCTGCAGGGTCAGCAGTCCGTACTACAGCTCCGGGCTGTCCATCATTAAGAGTGAAGCCTACACCAAAGTCTACTCTCGAGCTGGCCTCTTGCTCCTGTGGAACCGCGAGGATGCGCTCATGGTAGGCACAGTGGGTGGGGCTGTGAGGGCTCTTCCCCCAGTGACAGAGAGCGCCCAGTCCTGGGAGGGGACCCTTGGGCTGTAGGGACATGGGCTGGCTGTCATGTCCACTTCTCAGGGTGTCCTTGGTAGTGGACCCCACTCTCCTACCCACCTGCCACACTTAGGAGCTGGCCCAGCCTCAGAAATCCCTGTGGCTGCCCTAGCCCTGTGATCATCTACCGCTCCCTGTTCCTACAGCTGGAGCTGGACAGCAGGTTCCAAAACCACACCTGTGGGCTGTGTGGTGACTACAACGGGCTGCAGACCTACTCGGAATTCCTGTCGGAAGGTGGGCACTGGCCTGGTCAGGGCCCACAGGCCAGGTGGGAGGGCTGTGGCAGCTGCTGACCACCGACCTCTGTGGCCAGGTGTAACCTTCAGTGCCATCGAGTTCGGGAACATGCAGAAGATCAACAAGCCCGAGACAGAGTGCGAGGATCCCCAGGAGGCAGAGGAGCCCGAGTCCTGCTCTGAGCACGTGAGTTGTGGGTGGGACTGGCTCCAGGGGTGTGGAGTTCTGGGGGTCCGCTGGCCTTGGTGGGAGGTCCCTACATCTCTGGAAGGCAACAGTGGCACAAGCAGCTGCCCACTCACATCTCTCCCAGCGTGCTGAGTGTGAGAGTCTGCTGACGGTTGCGGCCTTTGAGGACTGCCGGGACCGCATACCACTGGAGCTGTATGTGGACGCCTGTGTGCGTGACCGCTGCCAGTGCACAGCTGCTGACAGCTGCGTGTGCAACTCCGTGGCCGAGTATTCCCGCCAGTGCTCCCACGCAGGGGGCCGGCCTGGCAACTGGAGGACAGCCTCCTTCTGTGGTAAGCACCAGGGCCATCCTGGGGCCTGGGGCACCCCAGGTGAGCAGGGAAGCCCTTGCCTGCCTGCCTGCTGGGCTAGCTCACACCGCCTCTCCTTCCAGCCAAGAGCTGTCCTGGCAACATGGTGTACCTGGAGAGCAGCTCGCCCTGCATGGACACCTGTTCCCACTTGGGGGTCAGCCACCTGTGTGAGGAGCACTATATGGACGGCTGCTTTTGCCCTGAAGGTGGGTGCGGGGCACCCTGACTCAAGGATGGGGGCAGGGTCCATCCCTAGGACTGGAGGTGCCTGGTAGTGGCCTTGCCTTGGACAGGAACCTGGGCCCTCTGAGGCCGCCAGGGTGACACCTGGTCCTTGGCCCTGGCAGGCACTGTGTATGATGACATCACTAGCAGTGGCTGTGTCCCCGTCAGCCAGTGCCACTGCAAGCTCCATGGCCACTTGTATGCCCCAGGCCAGGAGGTCACCAACGAGTGTGAGCAGTGGTGAGTGCCAGTGCCCAGGGCTTGGGCTGGGCAGGCTGGGTGCCATGGAGCCCTGACCTGTGCTCTGCTGCCCTGCAGCGTCTGCAACGCCGGCCGCTGGGAGTGCCAGGACCTGCCGTGCCCCGGAGCCTGTGCCCTGGAGGGTGGAGCCCACATTACCACCTTTGATGGGAAGAGGTTCACCTTCCATGGGGACTGCTATTACGTCCTGACCAAGGTGGTGGCCAGTGGCCTGGGTGCTATGTGCACTGCCCCTGGGTGGCAGATGGACTGACCTTGAAGCGGGTGCTTGCATGATGGTGGGCAGAGTGGGTGTGCCCTCCTGCCTTACTGCGGGGGTCCTGCTGCAGCGTCTCTATGCCTCCCCACAGGGTGACCACAACAACTCCTACTCTCTGCTGGGTGAGCTGGGCCCCTGCGGTGCTACTGACAAGCAGACCTGCCTGAAGACTGTGGTGCTGCAGATGGACAACAGGAAGAACGTGGGTATTGCCTCTACCCCACACCCCCCAGGTGCTGCCAGCACCTGACCCTGACCCTCTTGCAGGTGGTGGCCTTCAAGTCCGATGGCAGCGTGCTGCTCAATGAGATGCAGGTGACCCTGCCCCATGTGGCTGGTGAGTGCCCTGGATGGGCCCTGGGCTTGCTGGGGTTGGGACCTGGCAAAGTGGGGACATCAGTGACACCCGCCTTCCACACTCTGCCCTGCAGCCAGCTTCTCCATCTTCCGACCATCCTCCTACCACATTGTGGTGAGCACAGTCCTTGGACTGCGGCTGCAGGTCCAGCTGGAGCCCATCATGCAGCTCTTCGTGACTCTGGACCCCTCCGCCCAGGGCCAGGTGCAGGGTGAGTGGCCTTCCCACAAACGGTCCATGCCCCTACCAGGCCAGGCCCGACCCCTCCCAACCCTATGCCTCTTGCAGGCCTCTGCGGGAACTTCAATGGCCTGGAAACCGACGACTTCGAGACGTCTTCGGGGCTGGTGGAGGCCACAGGAGCCAGTTTTGCCAACTCCTGGAAGGCACAGGACAGTTGCGAGGACAAATTGGACTGGCTGGATGACCCCTGCTCCCTCAACATCGAGAGTGGTGAGGCTTCGGGTGGGCGGGGTCCAAGAGAACACTGTCCTTTGCCGGTGGGGACACTCGGAGGGGCACCCCTGCTGAGGTTCTGACCCCTGGCCCCCAGCCAACTATGCCGAACACTGGTGCTCCCTCCTGAAGAATGTGGAGACGCCCTTCGGCAGGTGCCACGTGGCTGTGGACCCCACCGAGTATTACAAGGTGGGTCTGCCCTCACCACACCTGACCCCTGCCCCACCCCAGGCAGCCTGAAGACCAGCACGGTGCGGGTATGGCCTTACTATCTGCTGCCTTGGTTTCCACGCAGAGGTGCAAGTACGACACGTGCAACTGTCAGGACAACGAGGACTGCCTGTGCGCGGCGCTGTCCTCCTACGCGCTCGCCTGCGCCGCCAAGGGCATCATGCTGTGGGGCTGGCGGAAGCAAATCTGCAGTGAGTGTCCCTGGGCCGCCCAGGGAGCCTCGGGTGCGGGAAGCAGCGCCCCCTGCCTGATGGCGCAGGAGCCGCAGCGGCAGCGCCAGTCGGGGTCCCGGGGCCACTCAGGACCCCTTAGCTAGGCAGGCGCCCATCAGAGTGGGAGCAAGAGCTGGAGCTGCCTCCCACACCTCTGCAGACAAGGACGTGGACGCCTGCCCCAGTTCCCAGATCTTCCTGTACAACCTGACCGCCTGCCAGCAGACCTGCCGTTCGCTCTCTGAGGGCCACGCCCGTTGCCTGAAGGGCTTTGTGCCCGTGGACGGCTGTGGCTGCCCCGACAACACCTTCCTTGACCAGAAAGGCCGCTGTGTGCCCAGGGCCAAATGTTCCTGCTACCACCACGGGCTCTACTTGGAGGCAGGGGAGGTGATCCTGAGGCAGAATGATCGCTGGTGGGTGTCCTAGGCCCCAAGGTGCACAGGTGCCTGGGGTGGCTACTGAGGGGCCAGGCTGGCATCTGTCCCAGTGCAGTGGTGGCTTCTTGTGATCATTTTGTGTGGGGATGGTGCCTGGGCCCTGTTCACCTGCACCTCTCCTTGTAGCACCTGCCAGGACGGGAGGCTGAACTGCAGGCCGATCCAGCTGATTGGGCAGAGTAAGTGGGTACTGCCCTGTGTGGCTGCTTCCTCTACCCTCGACCCCCCTAACCTCAGCCTGAGCTAAGGCATCCTCTCCATCCTGCAGGCTGCAAGGCCCCCAGAATTCTGGTAGACTGCAATAACCTCACATCTCCAGCCATCCGGAAGCCCCGCCCCATCAGTTGCCAGACCCTGGTAGCTGGCTATGTGAGTGCTGGGTGGACAGGCTTGGGAGAGGGCCCCCCTCCACAACCCCATCTGCCCACCAGCTAGGATGCAGGCCCCTCCCCCAGCATTACTGACACTTCTGGGGACCCCAGGCACGCAGCTCCCTGGGTGGACCTCAGGGTTAGTCCTGGGGGTCAGGACCCTCTCTCTGTCAGAGCTCCCCTCACCTGACATGGGCTCTGGGCTCCGCTGGGAGCTCGGTCTCACATGAAGCCCCCTTTCTGGCCCCCCCAGTACCACATGGGCTGTGTCAGTGGCTGCATGTGCCCCAACGGGCTGCTGGATGATGGCCGAGGCGGCTGCGTGGAGCCGGAGGAGTGCCCGTGCCTCCACAATAAGCACCTATACTTCCCTGGGCAACAGATCAAGCTGGACTGCAACAACACCTGGTGAGCTGCCAGCCCGGCCCAGGGGACCAGCCAGGCAGTGCCACCTAGAGATGGGTAACCTTCAGGTCTGCTGCTGGCCTGGCCTGTGGGGAGAGTGTGACTCAGGCGGTGTTAAGGGGTGGTGTGGGCACCTGCGGGGGTCCCACCTGGGCTGCTACTCCAGTTCCTCCTACCGTCCTCAGCACCTGCCAGAGGGGACGCTGGGAATGCACAAAGTTCGTGTGCCACGGTACCTGCTCCATCTATGGCAGTGGCCACTACGTCACCTTTGATGGGAGGCACTATGACTTTGACGGACACTGCTCCTATGTGGCCATTCAGGTGAGCCATGGATACCACCATGGTCCCTGCTTTGCTGTTCTGGGGCACAGTGGACCTAGAGGTGGAGGGGTCTACCCTTTCCTCAGCCCCAGGCCCCACACCATCAAGAGGATTTGGGTTTCCAGCCGCAGGCAGCGTGGGTGTGTAGAGGTCCCTCTTGCCTGCACTTAGGGGACTGTCCTGTAGTCAGGAGAATGGGGTCTGTGGGTGTGGGGAGGGCAGAGGCAGAGCCAGCATCTGTCTGCCCAACAGGCTACCCAGCCCCACTGGCTGGCAGGGTGGTTGTCCCTGACTACCCACATCCTGGCCACCTAGGTGACTCTACCTCTGTTTCCCCCCAGGACTACTGTGGCCAGAACTCCACAGGCTCTTTCAGCATCGTCACTGAGAATGTCCCTTGTGGCACCACTGGTGTCACTTGTTCCAAGGCCATCAAGATCTTCCTAGGGGTGAGTGTGGCTGACCCTGGGGGAGGAGGACCTGTGGACCCTCAGACAGGACCAGTGACCGATGTCTCTTCCTGCAGAGGACGGAGCTGAAGCTGGAGGACAAGCACAGCAAGGTGATCCAGCTGGAGGAAGGCCACCATGCAGCCTACACCACTCGGGAGGTGGGCCAGTACCTGGTGGTGGAGGCCAGCACGGGTGTCATCGTGATCTGGGACAAGAAGACCACTGTCTTCATCAAGCTGGCTCCCTCCTACAAGGTGGGCCCCCAGTTGCCAAGCACCTGCATGTGGCCAGTGGCCAGTCATTCGGCCGGCTGTCCTCAACCCCGGCATGCTCATCTCCCCAGGGCTCCGTGTGTGGGCTGTGTGGGAACTTTGACGACCGCACCAGCAACGACTTCACCACACGGGACCACATGGTGGTAAGCAGCGAGCTGCACTTTGGGAACAGCTGGAAGGAGACCTCCACTTGCCCAGACGTGACTGTCACCCCGGAGCCCTGTAGCCTGAACCCTCATCGCCGCTCCTGGGCGGAGAAGCAGTGCAGCATCATCAAGAGCAGCGTGTTCGCAGTGTGCCACAGCAAGGTGCAAAGGGGCTCAGGCTGGGGCTGCCTGTCAGGGACCCTGGCAGTGGGCTAAAGGAAGCTGCGGGTGAGCAGAGCTCAGCTATTGGTGCACAATGTGTGGGGGAGCTTTGGGCTTGGGTGGGGCCTAGTTGTGAACCCAGGGATAGGTGTCTGGAGGCTGTGGGTGGGGCCAAGAGAAGGGCGTGGCCATAGATTTGGTGGGAAGGGACTTGCACTTCTTGTTTTGAGAGTTACCTAGCAGCACTGCTAGGGTGCTTTGTCCTTCAGCTTTGGCTTTGTCCGCTTGTTTGGACACCTGGCCACAGGACCAGCCTTCTGTCTGATACTCCTGGCAGAATCCTTTCCTCCTTGCTTCCCCTGGCCCACAATCACCAGGGACAGACAGGACCTAAGCCTTAGCCCCTGTTGGGCCCAGCTGCAGGCCTGAGGACAGGGCCAGTTTTAGCAGTGCTGTCTTACAGCTGAGGCCTGCAGGTCCCAGCGCTGTATAACAGAGTTACTGCCAGCCTGGACTCTCTGGGCCCTGGGGCAGGTGCTGGGTAGTAACCGTGTCTTATCCCTCCTCTAGGTGGACCCCACGGTCTTCTATGAGGCCTGTGTGCATGACTCCTGCTCGTGCGACTCTGGCGGGGACTGCGAGTGCTTCTGCTCTGCCGTGGCCTCCTATGCCCAGGAGTGCACCAAGGCTGAGGCCTGCGTGTTCTGGAGGACCCCAGATCTGTGCCGTGAGTGCCCACTGTCCTGTCACTGCGGAGTCTGCACACCCTCCCCATCTGGGTGATGGTCTGTGTGTCACACACCTCCCACCCTCCTGGGTGTCCTTCCTCAGGCCATGCTGGCACTGGGTTGACAGGACCCTGCCGGACACATCCTGCCCCTGTCCCCTTCACCTTGGCCCTGCCTGTACCCCCAAGTCTAACCCAATCCCTGTGCCCCTTGCCCTGCCCCAGCCATATTCTGTGATTACTACAACCCCCCTAACGAGTGTGAGTGGCACTATGAGCCATGCGGGAACCGCAGCTTCGAGACTTGCAGAACCATCAACGGCATCCACTCTAACATCTCTGTGTCCTACTTGGAGGGTGAGTGGTGGCTGCCAGGCCTTGGGATGCCTGGAGCCCTGGGGCCTGGGATTTGTTCATGAATGGTGGGGCGGAGCCTGAGTGAAGGCCCAGCCTTCCTGGAGAGGCAGAGAAGCGGCACTGACACAGACCTTGACAGTTGGGCACAAGCTGTGCTGGGGACCCAGGGCACTGTGAGGCCAGGCCACAGCTTCCTGGCCTGGCCCTGACAGGGAGTGTCCCTGGGGGAAGGGCCTGCGGGGCAGGGATGATAGATGGCCTAGGATGCTGGAGTCCTCTGTGGTAGTCCAGACCCCATCCCCTTGTCTTCCAGGCTGCTACCCCCGGTGCCCTAAGCACAGGCCCATCTATGATGAGGACCTGAAGAAGTGTGTCACTGGGGACCAGTGTGGCTGCTACATCGAGGGCACCCACTATCCTCCTGGAAAATTGATTCCCACCAAGGAGATCTGCAAGACCTGGTACCTATACCCACATGACTCAGGCACAAACACACATGCACATGTGTGCACACATGCAGACATAGCCACACATGGACAGGTGCACACATGCATGAGCAAGCCACATAGAGCATGTGTACGCACACATACACACATGCTCGGACACATGCCACCCTGTGCATGTGCACACAAGCATAGATACATACATGCACACATGTCTGCATGCACCACACATGTACACATGGTGGACACGTGCATGAAGGTGCCCTGTCCCCTCTCCACTGGCAGGGCTCTTTTCAAGTTGGCCCTGGGGCTGTGCTGCCACTTTGGGCTGGGCTTCCATGGGGGGTGTCTGTGAGTGAGGGTCGGGGTCTGTGAGTACAGCTGTGTGATTGTTTTGCAGCGTGTGCACCAACTCCTCTGAGGTGAGCTGCTGGTGGGACGAAGGTAAGTCACTCAGTAGTGGCTGCTTCAGAGGGGTCCTGACCCAGAAGCTGTGGCTGCCCTGTTGCTGGGCTCTGCCCCCTTGGAGCCTGCTTCCTCATCTGTCTGTCTCCTACCCCCAGGGAAGATCATCAACGAGACCCAAGATGGCATCTTCTGCTACTCTGAGATCTGTGGCCCGAATGGGACAGTGAACAAGACCTTCGTGATCTGTAAATCCACCACACTAGCTCCATCCACCACGCTACGCCCGTCCACCCTGACCACTTCCACCTCGGTCCCCACTGCCTCCACCCCCATCCTTACCACCACCAGCACTTTCCCACCCAGGACAGGTAAGGCCCCAGGCCACACGCCCCTCACTCAGGCTCACTCAGCCCAACACACCTGAGCTGGCACAGAGAGCCTCTGTGTGCAAATTGGCTGCAAAATGAATTTGAGGGAAATGTTTCTAAGGGTCAGGGAAACCAGAGGATTTCCTTAATGAAACTGTGTCTGTGCCGGGTGGAATCATAGCTACCACAGAACAAGCTGCTGCCTCCCAGTGATAAATTGGGCAAGGAGAGCTGACTGCCAAGTGCCTTCTGGGAGGCTGCCTTCAGGGCCACCAGAGGCTGCCAGGGCACCTCGACTAGCTGGCCAGTGAAAGGTGTACGGGTGACCTTATTCACTGTATGCTGAGCCTGGGACTGGTGAGTGGGTCTGGGGTTGAGTGGGTGACCACCCGCCTGGCCCAGAGAAGAACCTCACCACTCTTCCTTGTTGGGTAAGTGACCCTTTTGTTACTCATTTTTTTGACACAAATATTTGAAGATAGCAGTGGGCAGTGCTGAGGAAGAGCTTCTAGCCTGGGCATGTCATGCCAGACGTGTTGCTCCTGCCCTGGGCCTCAGTTTATCCATTATAAACAAAGTCGGAAGTGGAGTCTGGTGCTAAGCCCTGACCCTACCACCTGGTTCCTGGGCAATATGTGGAGGAAAGAGGAGAGCAGCCATGCCTAGGGCTGTCATGCAGGTCACCAAGTCCTCCAAGTTGCAGTGACCTCCTGGGAGGGGACTCTTCCCCCCACAGGAGTGATCAAGGCTGGACTTTGTGTCCCCAGAGATTTGCTGCTTCTGGTCAGACTGGATCAACGAGGACCACCCTAGCAGCGGTACTGATGGTGGTGACCATGAGACTTTTGAAAGAGTTTGCAGTGCTCCTGAGGACATCCAGTGCAGGTCAGCCATCGAACCTCATCTCAGCTGGAAGGAGTTAGGCCAGAAAGTCCAGTGCAATGTCTCCCATGGGTTCCATTGCAAGAATGAAGATCAATTTGAAAGTGGACTATTTGGGTTGTGTTATGACTACGAGATACGAGTCAACTGTTGCCTGGAGATGGAATATTGCCCAACGCCCAGCTTACCCACGTCTCCACTGACCACCACGCCAACCACCACAACAATCACATTACCGCTGACAACATCACCGACCACCAGGCCAACCACATCACCAGCCACCAGCCCTACCACATCACTGACCACATCACCGAGGACCACCCTGACTAGCTCACTGACCACCACGCTGAACACACCACTGACTACCACACCAAACATTCCATGTGATTGCAAATGGACTGGCTGGGTAGATTCAGGAAAACCACCATTGGAGAAGCCAGGGGGAGATTTTGAAAGGATTGAAGATGTCTGTGCACCTCCCTGGATAGCAACTAACATCTCCTGCAGAGCTGTACAGTATCCCCATATTCCAATTGAACAGCTTGGACAGCACGTGACATGTGACCTCAGTGTGGGGCTGGTGTGCAGAAATGAAGACCAAACACTAGGTGGAGTAATTCCACAGCCTTACTGCACCAACTATGAGATCAACGTTGAATGCTGTGAGCTCTGCGTGCCCACCTCCACCACCAGCCTTACCTCCACTTCAACTAGCAAGCCTGAGATGTCCACACCAACGCCCACCACCATGGTAACCCCAACAGCCACACCCACCACAAGTAGAGAGACCCAAAGGAGCACACCAGAGACCACAACACCTCCCCCTACCACCACAACCACAGAAACACCAACACCCACCCCCACTACAACCACAGTGACATCAACACTCACAGCACAGACGTCAACAACTACACCAACCAGTACTACCACAGAGACCCCGATACCCACAACCACACCCATTACTACCACAGTGACTCCAACTATTACACCAGAGACCACAACACTTTCTTCTCCAAACACTACTACACAGATTACAACACCCACACCTTCCACTACAACCCCAGTGACCCCAACCACTACTGCAGAGACTACACTTACACTGACCAGCACAACCACAGAGACACCAACACCCTCAGCCCCACTCATTACTAAACCCACAGTGACTCCAACCACTACTCCAGAGACTACAACACTTACACCCACTACCAGGACCACAGAGACCCCAAAACCCACACCCACACCCATTACTACAACCACAGTGACTCCAAGCACTACACCACAGACAACAACACTTTACTCTACCACCACTACCCCACAGACTACAACACCCACCCCGATTACTACAGCCACAGTGACTCCAAACACTACGCCAGAGACTCCAACACCTACACCCACCAGATCGACCACAGAGACCCCAACACTGACATCCACACCCATTACTACAACCACAGTGACTCCAAGCACTACACCACAGACAACAACACTTTACTCTACCACCACTACCCCACAGACTACAACACCCACCCCGATTACTACAACCACAGTGACTCCAAACACTACGCCAGAGACTCCAACACCTACACCCACCAGATCGACCACAGAGACCCCAACACTGACACCCACACCCATTACTACAACCACAGTGACTCCAAGCACTACACCACAGACAACAACACTTTACTCTACCACCACTACCCCACAGACTACAACACCCACCCCAATTACTACAACCACAGTGACTCCAAACACTACGCCAGAGACTCCAACACCTACACCCACCAGATCGACCACAGAGACCCCAACACCGACACCCACACCCATTACTACAACCACAGTGACTCCAACCACTACACCAGAGACCACAACATCTCCCTCTATAACAACTGCTACACAGACAACAACACCCACACCCTTTAGTACAACCACAGTGGCTCCAACCTCTACTCCAGAGACTACAACACTTACACCCACTACCAGGACCACAGAGACCCCAACACTGACACCCACACCCATTACTACAACCACAGTGACTCCAAGCACTACACCACAGACAACAACACTTTACTCTACCACCACTACCCCACAGACTACAACACCCACCCCGATTACTACAACCACAGTGACTCCAAACACTACGCCAGAGACTCCAACACCTACACCCACCAGATCGACCACAGAGACCCCAACACTGACACCCACACCCATTACTACAACCACAGTGACTCCAAGCACTACACCACAGACAACAACACTTTACTCTACCACCACTACCCCACAGACTACAACACCCACCCCAATTACTACAACCACAGTGACTCCAAACACTACGCCAGAGACTACAACACCTACACCCACCAGATCGACCACAGAGACCCCAACACCGACACCCACACCCATTACTACAACCACAGTGACTCCAACCACTACACCAGAGACCACAACATCTCCCTCTATAACAACTGCTACACAGACAACAACACCCACACCCTTTAGTACAACCACAGTGGCTCCAACCTCTACTCCAGAGACTACAACACTTACACCCACTACCAGGACCACAGAGACCCCAACACTGACACCCACACCCATTACTACAACCACAGTGACTCCAAGCACTACACCACAGACAACAACACTTTACTCTACCACCACTACCCAACAGACTACAACACCCACCCCGATTACTACAACCACAGTGACTCCAAACACTACGCCAGAGACTACAACACCTACACCCACCAGATCGACCACAGAGACCCCAACACCGACACCCACACCCATTACTACAACCACAGTGACTCCAACCACTACACCAGAGACCACAACATCTCCCTCTATAACAACTGCTACACAGACAACAACACCCACACCCTTTAGTACAACCACAGTGACCCCAACCATTACTCCAGAGACTACAACACTTACACCCACTACCAGGTCCACAGAGACCCCAAAACCCACACCCACACCCATTACTACAACCACAGTGACTCCAAGCACTACACCACAGACAACAACACTTTACTCTACCACCACTACCCCACAGACTACAACACCCACCCCAATTACTACAGCCACAGTGACTCCAAACACTACGCCAGAGACTCCAACACCTACACCCACCAGATCGACCACAGAGACCCCAACACCGACACCCACACCCATTACTACAACCACAGTGACTCCAACCACTACACCAGAGACCACAACATCTCCCTCTATAACAACTGCTACACAGACAACAACACCCACACCCTTTAGTACAACCACAGTGACCCCAACCATTACTCCAGAGACTACAACACTTACACCCACTACCAGGTCCACAGAGACCCCAAAACCCACACCCACACCCATTACTACAACCACAGTGACTCCAAGCACTACACCACAGACAACAACACTTTACTCTACCACCACTACCCCACAGACTACAACACCCACCCCAATTACTACAGCCACAGTGACTCCAAACACTACGCCAGAGACTCCAACACCTACACCCACCAGATCGACCACAGAGACCCCAACACCGACACCCACACCCATTACTACAACCACAGTGACTCCAACCACTACACCAGAGACCACAACATCTCCCTCTATAACAACTGCTACACAGACAACAACACCCACACCCTTTAGTACAACCACAGTGACCCCAACCATTACTCCAGAGACTACAACACTTACACCCACTACCAGGTCCACAGAGACCCCAAAACCCACACCCACACCCATTACTACAACCACAGTGACTCCAAGCACTACACCACAGACAACAACACTTTACTCTACCACCACTACCCCACAGACTACAACACCCACCCCAATTACTACAACCACAGTGACTCCAAACACTACGCCAGAGACTCCAACACCTACACCCACCAGATCGACCACAGAGACCCCAACACCGACACCCACACCCATTACTACAACCACAGTGACTCCAACCACTACACCAGAGACCACAACATCTCCCTCTATAACAACTGCTACACAGACAACAACACCCACACCCTTTAGTACAACCACAGTGGCTCCAACCTCTACTCCAGAGACTACAACACTTACACCCACTACCAGGACCACAGAGACCCCAACACTGACACCCACACCCATTACTACAACCACAGTGACTCCAAGCACTACACCACAGACAACAACACTTTACTCTACCACCACTACCCCACAGACTACAACACCCACCCCGATTACTACAACCACAGTGACTCCAAACACTACGCCAGAGACTACAACACCTACACCCACCAGATCGACCACAGAGACCCCAACACCCACACCCACACCCATTACTACAACCACAGTGACTCCAACCACTACACCAGAGACCACAACATCTCCCTCTATAACAACTGCTACACAGACAACAACACCCACACCCTTTAGTACAACCACAGTGACCCCAACCATTACTCCAGAGACTACAACACTTACACCCACTACCAGGTCCACAGAGACCCCAAAACCCACACCCACACCCATTACTACAACCACAGTGACTCCAAGCACTACACCACAGACAACAACACTTTACTCTACCACCACTACCCCACAGACTACAACACCCACCCCAATTACTACAGCCACAGTGACTCCAAACACTACGCCAGAGACTCCAACACCTACACCCACCAGATCGACCACAGAGACCCCAACACCGACACCCACACCCATTACTACAACCACAGTGACTCCAACCACTACACCAGAGACCACAACATCTCCCTCTATAACAACTGCTACACAGACAACAACACCCACACCCTTTAGTACAACCACAGTGACCCCAACCATTACTCCAGAGACTACAACACTTACACCCACTACCAGGTCCACAGAGACCCCAAAACCCACACCCACACCCATTACTACAACCACAGTGACTCCAAGCACTACACCACAGACAACAACACTTTACTCTACCACCACTACCCCACAGACTACAACACCCACCCCATATACTACAGCCACAGTGACTCCAAACACTACGCCAGAGACTCCAACACCTACACCCACCAGATCGACCACAGAGACCCCAACACCGACACCCACACCCATTACTACAACCACAGTGACTCCAACCACTACACCAGAGACCACAACATCTCCCTCTATAACAACTGCTACACAGACAACAACACCCACACCCTTTAGTACAACCACAGTGACCCCAACCATTACTCCAGAGACTACAACACTTACACCCACTACCAGGTCCACAGAGACCCCAAAACCCACACCCACACCCATTACTACAACCACAGTGACTCCAAGCACTACATCACAGACAACAACACTTTACTCTACCACCACTACCCCACAGACTACAACACCCACCCCAATTACTACAGCCACAGTGACTCCAAACACTACGCCAGAGACTCCAACACCTACACCCACCAGATCGACCACAGAGACCCCAACACTGACACCCACACCCATTACTACAACCACAGTGACTCCAACCACTACACCAGAGACCACAACATCTCCCTCTATAACAACTGCTACACAGACAACAACACCCACACCCTTTAGTACAACCACAGTGACCCCAACCATTACTCCAGAGACTACAACACTTACACCCACTACCAGGACCACAGAGACCCCAACACTGACACCCACACCCATTACTACAACCACAGTGACTCCAAGCACTACACCACAGACAACAACACTTTACTCTACCACCACTACCCCACAGACTACAACACCCACCCCAATTACTACAACCACAGTGACTCCAAACACTACGCCAGAGACTCCAACACCTACACCCACCAGATCGACCACAGAGACCCCAACACCGACACCCACACCCATTACTACAACCACAGTGACTCCAACCACTACACCAGAGACCACAACATCTCCCTCTATAACAACTGCTACACAGACAACAACACCCACACCCTTTAGTACAACCACAGTGGCTCCAACCTCTACTCCAGAGACTACAACACTTACACCCACTACCAGGACCACAGAGACCCCAACACTGACACCCACACCCATTACTACAACCACAGTGACTCCAAGCACTACACCACAGACAACAACACTTTACTCTACCACCACTACCCCACAGACTACAACACCCACCCCGATTACTACAACCACAGTGACTCCAAACACTACGCCAGAGACTACAACACCTACACCCACCAGATCGACCACAGAGACCCCAACACCCACACCCACACCCATTACTACAACCACAGTGACTCCAACCACTACACCAGAGACCACAACATCTCCCTCTATAACAACTGCTACACAGACAACAACACCCACACCCTTTAGTACAACCACAGTGACCCCAACCATTACTCCAGAGACTACAACACTTACACCCACTACCAGGTCCACAGAGACCCCAAAACCCACACCCACACCCATTACTACAACCACAGTGACTCCAACCACTACACCAGAGACCACAACATCTCCCTCTATAACAACTGCTACACAGACAACAACACCCACACCCTTTAGTACAACCACAGTGACCCCAACCATTACTCCAGAGACTACAACACTTACACCCACTACCAGGACCACAGAGACCCCAACACTGACACCCACACCCATTACTACAACCACAGTGACTCCAAGCACTACACCACAGACAACAACACTTTACTCTACCACCACTACACCACAGACTACAACACCCACCCCAATTACTACAACCACAGTGACTCCAAACACTACGCCAGAGACTACAACACCTACACCCACCAGATCGACCACAGAGACCCCAACACCGACACCCACACCCATTACTACAACCACAGTGACTCCAACCACTACACCAGAGACCACAACATCTCCCTCTATAACAATTTCTACACAGACTACAACACCCACACCCTTTAGTACAACCACAGTGACCCCAACCAGTACTCCAGAGACTACAACACTTACACCCACTACCAGGACCACAGAGACCCCAAAACCCACACCCACACCCATTACTACAACCACAGTGACTCCAAGCACTACACCACAGACAACAACACTTTACTCTACCACCACTACCCCACAGACTACAACACCCACCCCGATTACTACAGCCACAGTGACTCCAAGCACTACGCCAGAGACTACAACACCTACACCCACCAGATCAACCACAGAGACCCCAACACCAACACCCACACCCATTACTACAACTACAGTGACTCCAACCACTACACCAGAGACCACAACACCTTCCTCTACCACCACTACCACACAGACTACAACACCCACACCCTCCACTACAACCCCAGAGACCCCAACCACTACCCCAGAGACTACACCTACACCCACCACCACAACTACAGAGACCCCAAAATCCACACCCACCCCGATTACTACAACCACAGTGACTCCAAACACTACGCCAGAGACTACAACACCTACACCCACCAGATTGACGACAGAGACCCCAACACTGACACCCACACCCATTACTACAACCACAGTGACTCCAACCAGTACACCAGAGACCACAACACCTTCCTCTACCACCACTACTACACAGACTACAATACTCACATCCTCCACTACAAGCCCAGAGACCCCAACAATAATAGAGACGACAACAGCTATACCCACCAGGACCACAGAAACCCCAACACTGACACCCACATCCATTACTACAACTACAGTGATTCCAACTACTACACCAGAGACCACAACATCTCCCTCTATAACAACTTCTACACAGACTACAACACCCACACCCTCTAGTGCCACCCCAGTGACCCCAACCATTACTCCAGAGACTACAGCATCTACACCTACTACCCCAACAACAGAGACCCCTACACCCACACCCACACCCATTACTACACCCACAGTGCCTCCAAGCACTACACCACATACGACACTTTCCTTTACCACCACTACTACACAGAATACAACACCCACACCCTCCTCCACAACCCCAGTGACATCAACAGTAACAGAGACTTCAACAGTTACACCTACTACCATGACCACAGAGACCTCAACATCTATACCCACACCTATTACTTCAATCACAGTGACTCCAACCACTCTACCAGAGACCACAACGCCTCTCTCTACCACTAGTATTGCACAGACTAGGACACCCACATCCTCCACCACAACCCTGATGACCCCAACTGTAACAGAGACCTCAACACCTACACCCACCAGGACTCCAACTTCAGTAACTACCAGTACAGGGACCCTGACCACCACACCCACCAGCACAAGTCCGCAAACCACCACTCCTGTATCTACCCATTCTTCCCCAACCCCACGTCCTGTATCAACGACCACCGCCGTCACCTTGACCCAGAGCACTCTCTCCACGGCACTGTCAACACGGGAGACCACACCACTTCCAAGTCCCAGTTCTAGCTGGACCTACAGTTCTCTCAGAAAGTGCTGCTTTGCGAATGACACCTATTATGCCCCAGGTAAGCATGTTGTTCCCTCCTGCCCAACACTGCCCAACACTGGGGCAGCCCAGGATGGTTTCTGCTAAGTCAGGAACCAGGGCAAAGTCAGAGTAGGAGCTTGCTCTGCAGGTAGGAGATAGGGCCTGGGAGGAATGTCTCTATTCTCCAAGGCAGTGTCCCTCGAGACGGTGAGGTGGGTAGGGTATGTGGGTTCTCCCACTTGGGGCATGGCAGGCAGCTTAGTTTCTTTTCTGCTGCTATAGTGATGTGTCTGAGCTCAGGTCACTTATGAAGAGTAGAGTTTGTTTAGTGCAGAGTGCTGGCCCCCTGACCCAGTAGAGGGCATCCAAGGGCAAGGCTGAGTCGACATGCTAGGTCCAGTGTTCATCTTGCTTGTTATACCAAGCCACCCCTGAGGACTTTTGGGGTTCTGCCTACCTCCCAGCGCCCCTCCTAGAGCCATTAACACATGAACTGGCTTGGTGAGAGGGGAGGTTTGGGAGACAGATTGACAGCACAGTAGGGGTTTCCTCCTGTAACCCCCATGGGATCCCAGTGCTGGCTCTGCCTCTGGGCAGCGTGAGGTCTGGTCTTTCTCTTCCCGCGCAGGTGAGGTGGTGTACAATGGGACCCATGGGGACACCTGCTATTATGTCAACTGCTCTCTGGAATGCGAATTCCAGATCTTCAACTGGTCCTGCCCATCCACACCTTCTCCATCGCCCTCAACACCCTCCACGTCCACACCCACGCCCTCCACATCCACACCCATGCCCTCCACAACGATATCCAGCACATCAGTCACCTCCAAGGGTCCTGGGTGCACAAACTTCACTCCTCCAAGAGAGGTCAGTGGCCAGGGCTGACTTTGTCCCTACTACCAAGAAGTCTGTGTCTGGGTTCTAAGACCTGTGGGGCTCCCAGCATCTGACCCACACCATCCCCAGTGGAGTGAGGTTTTCTGTGGCCTTTGGGTACTGGGTGTGGCTGGGGCAGGGTCCCTTCCTGCTGCACCTGCCTCACTGCACAGGTGGCTGCTGCCCGGGGCCCTAGCCCTGAGCACAGCCTGGGTGACACCCTCTATGCTGCAGGAGAATGAGAGGTGGTTGTTGTGTAACTGCACGTGGGCCATCTGTAAGTATGACAACGTGGTGGAGATTGTGGAGGTGGAGTGCAAGCCGCCGCCCATGCCCACCTGCTCCAACGGCCTGCAGCCCGTGCAAGTCATGGACCCCGACGGCTGCTGCTGGCACTGGGAGTGTGACTGTGAGCCTCGTCTTGCTTGGGCTCCTCTGGGGAGGGTGTCATGGGGCAGCCTCCTGGCGTGGGAGCTTAGGGCTTCTTGGGCACAGACCCCAATTGCTAAGGGCTCGGCCCACCATCCTGGTTTGCTTGCCCATAACCCACCCCTTGTATTGGGGAAGGATTGCCCAGTGGAGTAGGGGACTGTCTCTGGAATGAGGGTGCTTCTGAGGTCAAAAGCTGCTCGGTCCTGCAGAAGGAACCGCAGTGGCCTGAGCAGGGGGACATTCACTTTTCTGGGCACTCAGGTGCCCAAGGGTCCCTAGCTTTTCAAGCCCCTCAGCTCATGCTGGCTCCTGGAAACACCCCCAAATCCCCGCAGGCTACTGCACAGGCTGGGGAGACCCGCACTACATCACCTTCGACGGGCTCTACTACAGCTACCAGGGCAACTGCACCTATGTGTTAGTGGAGGAGATCACGTCCACGGTGGACAACTTTGGTGTCTACATTGACAACTACCACTGCGACGTCAACGACCAGGTGTCCTGCCCCCGCACACTCATCGTGCGGCATGAGACCCACGAGGTGCTGATCAAAACTCTGCAGATGATGCCCATCAAGGTTCAGGTATGTGGGGGGCATCCATGGGGGCATGATGTGGCCTCCATCTCACCTTGGCCCAGGAGACAGAGGACTGAGCTGCAGGACTGGAGGGGGAGAGGCAGGGGCCTCGTTCGGGGACCCACCAGGCTCCTCTCACAGGACCCCCAATGTGTCCCCTACACCTGCCATCCAGCCCACTTGTGCGGCAGCCCCTCCCCAGCACCGGAGTGAGGGTGCATAGCTGGGCTTCCCTCCCCCACACAGGGCAGATCTCAGACCAGGTCTGGGATCCTACTTCTTGTGTGCCTCTCAGGGCTCCTGGGAGGGGGCTTTCCCCAGCTCACCCGGGACCAACTGGGCAGGGTTTGTCCCTGCAATGGAATGGAAGTCAGGACAGCAGGGAGGGGGAGAGGAGGTGAGAGACCCCGTCCTCAGGGGAGGGCTGAAAGGGCGGTAGGTCCTAATGGCCCTCCTGATCCTTCTGCCCACTGCAGGTGCAGATCAACAAGCAGGTGGTGGCCCTGCCCTACAAGAAGTATGGGCTAAAAGTGTATGAGTCAGGCATCAACTTCCTGGTGGACATCCCTGAGCTGGGCGCCATCATCTCCTACAACGGCCTGTCCTTCTCCATCAGGCTGCCCTACAGTCGCTTCGGCAACAACACCAAGGGCCAGTGCGGTGAGCCCAGGGCCCCCACGCCTGCCCGCCTCTGGGTCTCCTGCTCCTCTGCTTGGGGCCACTCTCTTGGGTTTGGTCTCTGTGGGGTCCCAACAGCAGCTGGCCTGACTTGGTCTGTGCCCTCAGGCCCGGTTGAGGTGGTGTGGGGGCGGGGATGGGACTCTCTGGCTACGGTGGCCTGGTCTGGAAGCATTGTGGCCTTTCTTTGGCACAGGTACCTGTACCAACAGCACGGCTGACGACTGTGTGCTGCCCAGTGGGGAGGTCACCTCCAACTGCGAACTGGCTGCTGACCAGTGGGTGGTGAATGACCCCTCTAAGCCACACTGTCCCCACACTGACATCACTACGGAGCGCCCGGTTATCAAGACAACTTTGCCCAAGAACTGCACTGTGTCTCCGCTCTGCCAGCTCATCAAGGACAGGTGATCTGCCCTGGGCCTTGGGGAGTAGCAGGGCATCTGTGCTTCCCGAGATCTACAGTGTGGGGACGCTGGGCAGAGCCTCGGCATCTTGGGTGGGTGCCAGGTCGTCACAGGGGCTTTTTGACCTATCTCTCCTGCCTTTGACTGGGTGACCCCACTGTACTCAGGGCTGAGTAGGGGAGGCGTGGGCTTGGACACAGAGGAGCCCAAAGTCTATGGCCACCATGCTGGGTTTGGGTGGAGGCTGGGAGTTCCTTGCCTTTCAGAGGGGCAGCCCCACCCCAGGGCACCTGGGGGCACACCCTGCTGCGGCCTCTGTTACCTCCCCCTGCATCCTTGTTCCTCTCTGGCGCTGCAGGCTGAGCAGGCTCCAGAGGGGTAGAGCGCTGGGAGACTGGAGGTGAGAGAGGCAGGCACTCTGTGACCCACCCCGCCTTGTGCAGCTTGTTTTCCCAGTGCCACCCCTGGGTGCCGCCCCAGCACTACTACGAGGCCTGCATATTCGACAGCTGCTTCGTGCCAAACTCTGGCATGGAGTGCGCCAGTGTGCAAGCCTACGCGGCCCTCTGCTCCCAGGAAAAGGTCTGTGTGGACTGGCGGTCGCACACTAACGGGTCCTGCGGTGAGTGCCCCCCTTCACCTCCCCTCTCCTCACCCCTGGGAGGGGTGCCCACCCAGCCAGAAGTCAGAGCCTGGTGTCTCTGGGTGGGGAAGGAGCGCTTGGGAGGCTGGTGCTGGGAGTTTCGAGGTATTGCTTTGCGGGCCCAGCTGGAGACAGCTTAGAGAGTTGGCTCTGTCACTCAAGGGGGGGGGGCCCTTCTGACTTGGTCCTTCTGAGTCTAGCTTCCCTCCTGCAGCTGTGACGTGTCCGGCTCATAGGCAGTACCAGCCCTGTGGGCCCGCAGAGGAGCCCACTTGCCAGTCAAGGTATTGACCTGGGTCTTTGCAGAGATCTGCCAGCTCCCCAGTCTCTCCTGAAGCCCTGCCCAATCCCCTGCCTCCGCCCAGAAGCCATGCCCAACCCCAAGCCCCACCCCATGAACCCCACCCCAGGCTCTGAGGAGTCCTCTGTCGCTCCAGTGCCTCACAGAACTCCTCGGTCCTGGTGGAAGGCTGCTTCTGTCCTGAAGGCACTATGAGCTACTCGCCTGGCTATGATGTCTGTGTGAAGATGTGCGGTAGGCCATGCACCCTAGCTCACCCCTCCAATTGGGTGGGGTTGGGGGGTACCTGAGACTGGCCCAGGTTCCCTGTTAACAGGATCGGTTTCTCTCTCTCTCCAGGCTGTGTGGGACCAGACAATGTTCCCAGAGAGGTAGGCCCTGCTCCTTGGGCTGGTGGTGGGATCTTCCCAAAGTCTTGAGTTTTGGGAGGTGAATAGGCCAGGGTGAAGAGGACAGGAGAACCAGGAACTTCAAAGACTGAGTAATGAATATTTAACTTCTGGAGCAGGAGTAGGGAATCCACAGACTCCATAGTTCGTCCTTCTATTCATCCATCCATCCACCCATCCATCCATCTATCATCCATCCACCCCTCCCCTACCTGTCCAGGGTTCACCTCTATCATCTGTCCATCCATTGTCCATGTACCTCCTCATTCACCTCTCCTTTGTTTTGTTCACCCATCCATCAACTTGTCCCCCATCTATGGATTTATCTGTCCATCTGTCACCCATCTATCCAGTCACTCGAGGGTCCATCTATCCTTGTACTCTCCCAGGCACCTGTCTGTGAGCTCATCTGCCTGTCCACCCCCACCTCTGCCTGTCCATCAGCTGCCTGCTCTCCCACTCACCCACCGTATGCTCTGTGTAACTTGAGGTGACTGTGGTCACTGCAGTGCTGTCTGTGTCTCCTGTGTGGCCACGGCCATGTGGTCGGTTCCTTATCCCCTAATCAGTAGTGAGGTGCATCTGCCGTGTGCCAGGCCACACTGGCCGGTGCTGGAGAGTGGTCCCCACTGGGTGGCTCAGCAGCCTGGTGTCCTGACTGAGCAGCCCCTGTCCCATTCCGGAAGTTGCCTGTGAGCGAAGAGGTGGCCAGGGCACAGCTTTGCCTCGGCGTCTCAGCTGCATGTCCCATGCAGGCCCTTTCTCCCTGGCTGGGTGTGGTGAGGCAGGGCCTTCTCTTGTCCTCGCTCACCCGATCTTCCCTGCAGTTTGGGGAACGATTCGTCTTCGACTGCAAGGACTGCATCTGCCTGGAGGGCGGCAGTGGCATCACCTGCCAGCCCAAGAAGTGTAGCCAGCAGGCACCACCCACGTGTGAGGAGGAGGGCACCTACCTGGTCACCGAGGTCAACCCGGCCGACACCTGCTGCAGCATCTCTTCGTGCAGTAAGTCTGCCAGGGGCAGGGGTGGGGGCCCTGTTCCTCCTGCGGTCACTGCAGCCCTCTAGGGGTGGGGTTCCTGCAGCCCCCTCTTTGTGGAGCTCAGAACTCGCCCACCCAAGACATGGGCTGGCGTGGAAAGGTGGGGCCACAAGCCTCACATCCTTGTCCCATCTCAGAGTGCAATGCCAGCCTGTGCACAAAGGAGCTCCCTTCGTGCCCACTGGGCTTTGAGGTGAAGAGCAAGACGGGGCCGGGGAAGTGCTGCCCAGTCTACTCCTGTGGTGAGTACCTGGTGAAGCGGGGTGGGAGGAGGCAGGCTGACCTTCGGGGCCTCCAGTGTGTGGCCTGTACAGCCGTGGCAGGCCTCTGACAGCCCTTCCGTGCTTCCTGCCCAGAGCCCAAGCAGGTGTGCGTGCACGAGAACGCAGAGTACCAGGTGAGCCCTGGGTGGGTGGGCAGCACGGGTGCATCCTGGGTTGGCTGGAGAGGGGCTGGGTGTGGAGTCCTCACTGACCCACCCCTCTCTGCAGCCTGGATCCCCAGTGTACTCCTCCAAGTGCCAGAAATGCATGTGTACCCGAGAATTCAACAGCAGCAGCCAGCTCAACATCATCAGCTGTACCCACGTGCCCTGCAACGTGTCCTGCGACCCCGTAAGCTGCTGCCCCACTAGCTGTACGCCTCAGTCCCTTCCTCTGTGCCTCACCAGCACGGAGCTCAGCCCTCCTCCTCTGTCCACAGGGCTTCGAGCCTGTGGAGGTCCCTGGTGAGTGCTGCAGCAAGTGCCAGCAGACCCACTGCATCATCAACATTCCTGGCAGCCAGGCTGTGGTCCTGAAGGTGCATAGATGCTGCCCACACCCCTGCTGGGGCCTCCTAGTTCTGGCCGTGTGGGGTGGGAGTGTCCAGGGCTGCCATGGCAGAGGAGGGCAGAGGACATCGACTGGTGGCCGGAACAGGAGGAACAGACTGGCGTCCAGGCTGTGAGGCCTGAGAGATCCTCCCTCCTGCCTCCGCCGCCTGGGCTCCAGTGGCCCTGACTGGGCCCTGTCACTCCGCCTCTGCCTCCCTCTCCCCAAGTCTGTCTCCTCTCTGCCTCTCCCAAGGCCACTGGATGTAGGGCCACCCTGAGTCAAGATGGTTTCATCTCCAGATCCTTCACTTCATGACATCTTCCAGTGCCCTTTTTCCAAATAAGGTCGCTTCCTGGTTTTGGGGAGTCAGATGTGGCTGTACCTTTTTGGGGAGCCACAGATAGGTGCATTGACCTGCAGCCCCTGGTGCTGCTGGCCTGGCGGCTCTGGGCTGGGAGGCTGCTCCTGAGGGTGTTTCCAGCTTTCCTGGTCTCTCCACCCCACGGGGCTCACCCTGGCCCTGCTCTGCCTGCAGCCCGGAGATATGGAGAGGAACCCCAGCAACAAGTGCACCTTCTTCAGCTGTATGAAGATCTACAACCAACTCATCTCGTCCGTCTCCAACATCACCTGCCCTGACTTCAACCCTGGCACCTGTGTCCCGGTGAGGGGCCGTCCATGCTGGCATGTGCTGACCTGGGAGTGGCGGGGACCCTGCTCTTCAGGGATCCTGGTCCTCAGTGGTGGGACAGTGGCCACTGGCAGCAGGGGTGGGGTGGGGGAGCCGTGCAGGAGCTGCCCTCCCCCAGCCCACCACCACCGGAATGGGCACACTGTCCTGCAACTCACTCTGCTCTCTTTGCAGGGCTCCATCAGATATATGCCCAATGGGTGCTGCAGGACCTGTGAGTGCTGGGTGATGGGCGGCCCAGGGGTGGGAGCAGAGTAGGTGTTCCCACCTACGTGATCTGTGGACTCCAGAGATTTGAGTCCCTTCCCAGGCAGAGGCAGGAAGAGGCCCCACGGGGGGCAGAAGGCTGTGCTTGGGTGGGGCCTGGTGTGAGACCCTGCACCCTGTGCCCCCAGGCATCTCTCTGAATGAGACCAGGGTCCCTTGCTCCACCATCCCAATTGTCAAGGAAATTTCCTATGCCGGCTGTGCCAAGAACGTCACCACTAACTACTGCTCCGGGTCCTGCGAGACCTTTGCCATGTGAGTCGGCTCTGTATGCCCTGTGGGGTGGGGGTGGAGCCCATGAGCTCCAGAGGGTGAGGCTGGTGCTGCAGAAGGGTCCTCACCACACTGTCCTCCAGGTACTCAGCCAAGGCACAGAGCCTGGACCATCGCTGCTCCTGCTGCAAGGAGGAGAGCACCGTGGAGCGCCAGGTGGTCCTGGACTGTCCCAATGGGGGCTCGCTGCCTTACACCTACACGCACATCCAGGGATGTCTGTGCCAGGAGAGCGTGTGCCAAATCCCGGAGACCCGGGTGCGGCGTGCCAGCCCCAGGCTCCTGGGCAGGGTGTAAGCAGCCTGCGGGCCCACAGACTCACCCACCATCCCTTGGCGCTTCCTCTCCCTCTGCTTGGTTTCCTCTCTGCAGATATTTATTTTCTGAGTCTGTCTGATGTTTGCTATCTGATAATAAACTCATGCAGAGGCGCTGTTCTGGTGTGGTCTGAGTTGGTGGCGTGTGGCAGGTTGGGGCTGTGTGTTTGATGGCTTGGAGAGGCCTCTGGGTCCTCTAGTCCTGAGCTCTGCGTATAGAACACAGGGCCTCACCTTTGACATACACTGGGTAAAACACAGCCCCGAGCTGTCTGAAGCTTTGAAAGACTTCCAGATGCTCTGCTGGGACCCGGGTGGGGTGGGCCCAGCCCTGTGTATGTGCCTGTGTGTGTACCCGTGTCCACAGCCTTGGGTGAGGGGCCTGTGCATACTTGAGGGTTGGTGGCAGCTGTTGGCCCACATAGCTGGTGCTTGTGGGCTTCAGAGAAGCCAGGTGTCCCCTTGCTCAGGCAGCAGAGGGTAGGGGCCAGGGCCCAGCCAAGTACCCCAAGTACCACTGCCATGAGTGTCCTCAGGCCCAGGGATCACAGTCCCCTCATGTGCTCAGCACATCCCTACCAAGTGGCATCTGTTTGTGCCCTGGGGCCACAGGGAAGCCAAGTCGTCACATTTGCTCCCCATTGCTGCCTCCTGTGGGTTGGGCTGAGCCTGGCTCCGATCGTAACCCCAGAGCGGGGTACCTCTGGCCTAAGGGCTGGAGCAGACCCTGTGCCCAGCGTCCTCTGTCACCTCCCACAGCTGTAGGCACAGTGGGTTCTGCTCCTGAGGGCGTCCTGGAGCTGCGAGGCCAGCCTGTCCTGGCACAGGGTCGCTTCCCTGCCAGGCTGTACCCCTCTGGGCAGGCAGCCCAGACTGGTGACCTTGCAGGGCCAGGTGGAGGTGGTGAGGCCAGAGTCCTGCTGAGGAGTCAGGTCTAACAGCTACTGCATTGGGTGGGTGTGGGCACAGGGGCTCTGGCAGCCCTTTGTGAAGTGGGGAAAGTTGGGGTGAGGTGATGAGGTCCAGAAGGGCAGGCTCCTCCCCTTGGACAATCTCCACCCTTCCCAAAGTGCCCCTTCCTTCCATTGGCCCCTCCCTTCCTCAACAGGTCCCACCCCCTCCCCAGGACAGCCACTTCTCCTCCCCAGCAGGTTCCTCCCCTCCTCAAGACAGGCCCCTCCCTCCCCAACAGGTCCAGCCCCTCCCCACAGGCCCCTCTCCTCCCCTCCCCAACAGATCCAGCCCCTTCCCAGCAGGCCCCTCTCCTCCCCAGGACAGACCCCTCCCCTCCCCAGCAGACCCTTCCCCTCCCCAGACAGGCCCCACAGGAAGATAATCCTTAATCTGGTCACAAAACTGAAAACTTCAGACTCAGCATCATAAAGACTATCTCAGCTAAATGCAATGGAATTAAATGACCAACACCAGAAAGTTCTCTGGAAAATTCTCCAATATTGGAAACTAAGACACGCATTTTTGTTATTGTTGTTTTGTTTTGTTTTTGGGCCTGCAGTTGCTCTGCCTTGCAGCCACACTCCAGCCCCTAGACGCTCACTGCTGAATGATCCCTGAGCCATCCGGGTGGCTGTGGTGGTGCCCTGTGATCCCAGTGGTCTGGAAAGCTGAGGCAGGAGAGTCCCAAGCTTGAGCCCAGCTTGGGCAATTTAAAAACTTGGTGAGACTCTGCCTCAAAAGGAAAATATTAATATTAACAGTAAATGTGAAAAAACTGGGATAGAGACGCTCCACCCCCAGTTCCACCAATAATTAAGTACCTAAATAAAATCCTAGACCCAGAGGAAGCAGGAAAGAATTCAGGAAATATTAAAAGAGTCTAGAAACAAAGGCCAAGCACCACCATTTGTGGAAAACAGTTGCAGCGTTCCTACGGTCTGTTTAGCACACTTTAGGAAAGGAGACCTCACTTCCTCCTCAGTAATCTAGTAAGGGAAGAAATGAAACTGGGCTGCGTAACAGAGATAAATACTCAAAACCCCACACGAGGGGCTGGGGATTTAGCTCAGCGGCATAAGCGCCTGCCTTGCAAGCAGGCAGTCCTGAGTTCGATCTCCAGTACCGATAAAAAGGAAAAAGACAAACAAAACAAAACAAAACAAAAAACAAACAAACAAAAAAAACCCCACACAAGACAAATGGTCAAACAGAGGCTGAGCGGCACTGTGGAGACCAGTGGTTAAGATGGGCTTGCTCAGTGTGTGTGGGGAGGGCAGGCGGGCAGGGCGGCGGAGGCTCTGCCATGGGGTGGGCTGCAAACCCAGAGTCCCTGCACCTTGCTGAGGCAGCTGCTGATTTAGAGATGCAGACACAGTTTTTTTTTTTCTTTTTTCTTTTTTTGGTACCAGGAAGAGACACAGTTCTTAAAAGAAATAATTCAGCAAAATTTCCCAAGAAGAAGTAGAACACTTGAGCAGAACTCTATAGATTTTGGAAACTGAGTTCATAATTTGAATTTAGAAATCTCCAGGCTGAGACAGATTCACTAGTGAATTCTGTCAGATATTTAGAAAATAAATAACCCCAGTCCTACACATCTCAACACGGTTTGGGGTATGTATCCACACTGAGTCCCAAACCAATGACATCCCAGAAAAGCAAACCAGACAGAGCTCAATGCTTCTCAAGAACAGTGACGCAAAAACCCACAAGGAAACCCTGGTGCATTGATCTGAGAACGGTGTACACAAAGGCTGTCCCCAAGAATGCAGGGGTGGTTTCACATACGAAAGTCAGTCAGAGCACAGCAGGAAACAGATATCCAAGCATTGCATAGCAAAAATATCCAGAAACGGTTGAGCTGCAATCACAACAGTCTGGGTGGCCTGCTGTGACGCCCACCACACTATATGACAAAACATCACATCTTCCTGGCTGAGGCAAGCAGATGGCAAGTTCAAGCCCACCCTGGACCACTTAGCAACTTAGCAGGACTCCTTCTCAAAATCAAGAAAGGGGCTGTGGATTTGCCTCGGTGCAAGGGCCCTAAGATCAACCCGTAGTATGGCAAATAAATAAGTAAAATGAAAATAAAGTGAAAAACATTTTTAAAAATACGAATTTTTCCCCTTGAGCCAGGGTCTTGCTATATTGTCCAGGCTGCTCTTGAACTCCTGGGTTCAAGTGACTGTCCTGCCTCAGTCTCCTGAGTAGCTGGAACTGCAGGCATGCAGTTTTTGTTTGGGTACCACTCTGTTTTTGTTTTTCTCGAGCCAAGGTCTCACTATGCATTTCAGGCTGGCCTTAAACTCACTTTGTAGTTATGAGCCTTGAGCTCATAGCAATCCTCCCGCCTCATCCTCCCGAGAGCTAGGATTACAGGGGTGCATCATCACATCCAGCTACACCACTCTTTAAAGGTAATAACCCTTGGAAGTAACAGAGATCCTGTCTAGCCTGAATGAGGACATTCTAGGGTCTGCACAGGGGGGAAGCTGCGCGTGGGTAAGAGGAAGCTGGGGAGGAAGCCGTGGAGACATCTGCCTCTTAAACCCTCCTTAGGACTGGGAGACCCCACAGGACAAGGACCAGAACAAAAAACACAAAGATTAGAGGATGGAAAACTCCAGATTCTCAGAAGGCATAGTTAACTATGCAGGTAGTAAGCCCACAGAAACCCAGAAAAATCTATGGGAAAGAATAAGTGAATTTCGTGATGTTGCCAGACCCAAGGCCAATATACAAAAATGCATTGTATTTCTATATAACAGAAATTAAGTCAGAGAGACAACTCCACTGGCAACAGGGCCAAGAACAAGGACTCAGGACAAAGTTAGCAACAAATGCACGAGGTAAGAAAACCAAAAACATTAAAAAGCAGAACTGAAAGACTGACTGAACTCGAGGCATACCCCCTGTTCACGGTTTCAAGTTTAATATTGGTAATGTGGTTGCCCTCCTGGAATTTGTCTAAAGTCCGTGTAACAGCCATAAAATCCCTACCCTCCAGTCCTCTTTAAAGAAATTAACTAGATGACTTTTAAAATTTATACGGAAAGGCAAGGGCCTAGTGAGCCAAAAAGTGCTGAAGAGCCAGCGTGGCCAGTTTCAAGGTTGACACGCAGCGCGGGGCACAGGGTGGTCCCCTGCTTCAGTGGTCCCTGGACGTCCCCCGAGCTGTCATTTCTGGGGCAGAGGTGTCTTGAGGACAAGAATGCTGGGTGTTTCACTCCGGTGAGGGAGCAAACCTTGACCCTTAGCTGCCGAGATCACACACCTGCCTGTCACAGCCACAAGGTTAAAACTCTGAGAAGACTGGGGGAGGAAGACTGATTTCTAAAGACATGAAAAGCTAAAGACAAACTACATAGAAAGATTGATATCGACCTCACTGAGAGACCGAAAATCTTGCTTCCCAAGACACTAAAATAGTTAAGAAAGTGAGAGAGTGAGGCATGGTCTGGGAGAAAGGCTTTGTGACACACGTGTCTGACACACCCATGTGCCCAGAATGTACTCGCAAGTCCCACACGGTCAGGAGGCAATGCCAAAGCATGGGAAAGTTTCATAAAACACAACAGAGGTATGCTTGGCCCTATGTAGCTGAGAAGACTCTGGACTTTACACACTGCTGAGAACTGCAAAGCAAAGCCCTTGCGCTCTGTCCTGGACCTGGGGTCTTGGAACAGCTATTACTCCCAGGTCCGCTCTGTCCACAGAAAAAGCAGTCCACAGCTCTCAAGGACCCCCTGCCCTGGCCAGAGGCTCAAGTTGGAGCTGCAATACCACAACTGAGCAGCAGGAGGAGCCAGAGACACTTGGTGGCCGTGAGCACCCACAGATACAGGAGAAAAGCCTCCCGACTTTTGGGACTGCCTTTTATGTATGTGTTGATAAGGCTGTGCCACAGTGAAAGGACTGATTTACTTTGCTCTCACGCTTTCCCGTGTGTGACTAAGCCAGCTGAGGAAGTGTGCTTAGCAGAAATCCCCAGAGGCAGTCACTAAGCTCTGTCCCCGTCCTAGTCTCCACCTCTGTCGCCAGCTGTGCCCAGGTCCCAGCTTTCCCACCTCACAGACCTCAGTCTTAGCAGGTGCAAAGACTGAGCTGGTGGGGAAATGGCTTGGCTGCAGGGAGGTGTCCTTGTTCTGTGATGGGACAT